TGGAACCACTCCAGTGCCCAAACCAAGATGCCGTCATTTCAGAACCATGATCCGACTTGCTTGGGTACTGAGGCACACTGCCTGGGTTAAGAGACCTCTCCTTGCACTTATAAGTCCATGTGACTTGGATCAAACTAATTAACCTGTCTATAACTTGCACCCCCATCTGTGAAAGAGATAATAACAGTGTCTATGTCCTAAGAGTGGAGAGAGGATTCAGTGTTTTAGTAAAGTTCTGAGAACTGTGCTAGCATATAGGAACCAGGTATTTTGTTTTTAACTTTAATTCTCTGAGGCTAAAGGTACTTGGTTAGCCTATGTCATCCCATATCATCCCATAACCCAGACAGTTCTGCTACTCTCTGACACTAGGGAGATATGAGCCCTCCAGAGGAAAGCCCTGCTAGCCACTGCATGGTTCACAGACCTGCATCACCACTATCTGCAAGCCCACTGGAAATCAGAATCTCAGTCCCCAACCACACTTGGTAAAACAGAACCTGTATTTGAACACATTCTGCAGACAGAGTCACCTGGAGTTCTTGTTAAACAAGTCTGAGTGAGACCTGAGATTCTGGGGTTCCCAGGACCACATTTGGAGAAGAAAAAGCTCCCGAGGAATGTTCCAAAGTAGAAATGTGCCAAGATGTAGGAAGACTTTCACCTGGAGTCTGTGAGTGAGAGGAGGGTAGACGGGGTGTGACTGGTAACCGTGGAAAAGTACATGGCTAAGAAGATAAATGGCCGACCACATAAGGAGCTCCTTGGGAAGTTCTTAGAGGTAAGACACCAAGCTGTATTCATCTTTGTTTTCCCAAAGATGGAGGAGATAGTTCACAAAAGCATCTGACACTACTTTCACTTTTGTGAAGTCCAATAATTTATCACTATTCAATAAAACTGGAATGTCTGTGAGCACTACAAATATATATATATATATTTTGTCTTAGTTGCTCCTCCCCAACTTACCCTAAAATAATATTTAACTCTATAAATCCTTTATGAAGAAAATGTAAACTATCTTTGACAGAAGGGAATGATTTCTAAATTGTTTCCCTTAAAAATGGTGCTGGCTCTGAAAAACCCAGGAGTTGGAATGGGGTTCGATGGGGATAAGAGGAGGGGTTGGCAGAGCTACCTCTGAAAAACAATGGGTTGGAAGTTGGGGTTTTAAAGAGAATTTGCTATTACCTTCCTGCCATTTTCATTTCAAACTCCTAGAATGTTAAAAACCAACTTAAGGTGTCAGAAAATTAAGTGCCTCGTTTCTATAACCAGTGACCTTTTCCTAATGACATACATGCATGCATAACTAACCAGCTCCTGGAGGTCAACAAATAGGGAATAACTACAGAGAAGAAGATGGGATAGTTATAGAGCCTAGAAAAGTCATACCAACCAATCCAAGAGCCCCTGATAGTTCCCTTTTTGAGGAACAAGTCTTCAGAAATGACCAGATGCCCCACCTGTCGTCTAAGCAATCTGTCTCTCTTATCCAACAGGGCCCTCTGCCCCACCCCTCACCACACACACACACCTGCCACCTCAGTAATTAACTAAAGGGAAAAATCTGCACCAAGAAGGGAGCTTTATTCCAAGTCCCCACAACTGTTATGAAATTATCTAAACAGGAATGCCATAGGAACTCAAATGGGCTTCTCTTTGAAAAACCAAGGAAGATCAGCAACAGATGTTCTAAGCCCTTCTTATAAGTCAAAGGTAAGAGGGAATGTCCACTATGTCACTCGGAATCAGCAGCTACACATGAAAATAGATATAACATCACTGGTAGTATATGTACACAAAGACACACACAGAGAGACATATGTTTATCTTTGCTCTGCCTGAAGCAAAAAGGTTTTAGAGAAGGGAAGCCCTTATCCTCATCTACTAGAGTAACTCAATCATTTTCTGCCCTTAAGTGAAGGCTGTGAATGTGAAAATACATAGCAGGAAAGACACCACAGATCATACATCCTTTCTGCTCCAACTACTGACAGACAACTCATAAAAAAATAAAAATAATGAAAACAATTATTCAATTTTACATCTAAATATAAATTTTAAAAATGAAATCAAAGCCAGGAGAACACTTGTTTCCGCCAGACACTAAATTGCATCCCCAAATTTAGATGAACTTTCAACCAAATAACTTAAAGCCACAGTCCTATAGAGCTGCTGCTGCTGCTATAGAAAAGGAGACTATGCCAAACACATCTCTGTCTTAAAAAAAAAAAAAACTCTGAGGGCCCAGGAGAGGCTTAGACAAAGCACTGCAAAAAGCCAAACAACCCCCACATTGACCATGTGGTTTACTCAAAAATGCACCCTGATTTTCTAACTTAATGGCAGAGCTAAGTGTTTTAATACACAAGGTTGTAAAAGGCACTAGACTACATAGACCTGAGGAGGTGAGGGTCTAAATGAGAAGTCTTCAGGAACTATGAGAAATATCAGCACAAATGTCAACACAGGCTTTAGTTTACAAAATTAAACTGCCATCCAAGCCAGAAAGTAAGCTGGAGCTTGCACTGAAATCCCAGCAAGCAAATAGCTGACCCTCTGCATTCCTAAATGCAAGGTTCTGCAGAGATAAACTAACTCTGTCTTCTACCAGTACTAAATCTTACAAATATCCATACTCAATAAAGATGTGAAAATGATTTTTCACTACAAATAAACAAAACAGAAGAGATTCTCTTAATATCTGAGAAATATGAATACTACCTGCAATCTCAGGTAATAAGGAAACTCTGAGAAAAAGAAAATTTTTGTATCTTTTGTAATGGTAAGAACCTTAATTAGGACCAAAAGAACAATGTGTTAAAAAGAAATTGTTCCACATGTTGAATCATCTTGAAAACTTTCTGAACTTCCCAGTGGCCCAGGGACACATCAGATCAGCTACATTAGAATCCCTGGAGATGGAACTCCAGCATCATTGATTTTTAAAGCTCCCCGGGCAGACTATAGTGTATAGCCAGGGCCAAGAACTACGGAATTAGATTATTCAAAGACACCTTCCAGAGCAGAGAGTTCATCTAAGCATGATTGTAAGCCCTTGATATACTGGAACAGAAGCTAATGCCCAGCTGAGATGGTGGACTGTGCAAGCCACTTAACTCCCAACCCAGGAAGACGAGCTGAGGACCAAACATACCCAGGCTACTCCTCCCTATTAACAAGCAACTCTGGGCTCAGGGCCTGTGGCTCAAGTGGCCAAGGCGCCAGCCACATACACCTAAGGTGGCAGGTTCAAATCCAGCCCGGGCCCGCCAAACAACAATGATGGCTGCAACCCAAAAAAAAAAAAAAAAATAGCTGGGCTTTGTGGCAGGTGCCTGTGGTCCCAGCTACTTGGGAGGCTGAGGCAGGTGACTCGCTTAAGCCCAGGAGTGGGAGGTTGCTGTGAGCTGTGATGTCACAGCACTCCACCCAGGGGAACAGCTTGAGGCTCTGCCTCAGAAAAAAAAAAGAAAAAACAAGCAACTCTGATAAGGCAGCATCCAGAAGGCCCCTGAGTGTGTACTTTCGGGGGGCACCTCTCCCTGGCAATGTGAGAGGCCTTAGAAACAGGTGTGACATGGTCCAGCTAAGCCAGTGTCACCTAGGGTAAAGAGCTATTTTCAAAGCACTATGCAGCCCTGTTCTGACTCTTTGAAGGAAAATGCACACGCTTTTAACAAAAAGTGTGTCGGCAAACAGATAAGTTTCTGAGCTGTTGCTCCTCTGTTGATAAAGCTGGAAAATTCACTTTATCTAATTAGAAAAAAATCCTCAGTGTTTACCAACAATACCCTCTGGACTTCCCCCAATTTAAATCCAACTTTAGAAACTGTTGCTTGGTTTTATTTTGAAAGCAAATTTCTAATGGAAATGGCACAGCAGAGATGTTTTACAAAACTCCACTAGAATCAATGCATATTTACTCCAAAAATTTAAAGGAAAAATTTTACCCAAGAAGCTTAAAAAGAAAATCAAACATATTGTAGACATTTTAAAGGATAAAATCTTGAATAACAAGAATGTTATAAAGCACAAATTTTAAAAAGCAGACAAAAGCTATAAAAAAATGTTCAAAGATTGGCTGGGCATGGTGGCTGATGCCTGTAATCCTAGCACTTGGAAAGGCCAAGGTGGGCAATCACCTAAGCTCAGGTGTTCATGACCAGCCTGAACAAGAACAAGACCCCGGCTGGGTGTGATGGCTAACACCTGTAATCCTAGCACTCTGGGAGGCTGAGGAGGGTAGTTCGCCTGAGCTCAGGAATTCGAGACTAATCTCCGCAAGAGCAAGCCCCTGGCTCTGCTGAAAATGAAAAAATTAGTCAGGCATTGTGACAGGTGTCTATAGTCCCAACTACTCAAGAGGCTGAGGCAGGAGGATAGCGTAAGTCCAAGAATTTGAGGTTCAAGTGAGCTATGACACCAGGGCAGTCTATCCAGGGCAACAGAGTGAGACTCTGTCTCAAAAAATAGGAAAAAAAAAAAAGTGAGACCCCCAACTCTATCGGAAATGGAAAAATCAGCCAGGCATTATGGCAGGTGCTATAGTCCCAGCTACTCAGGAGGCTGAGGCAGGAGGATCACTTGAGCTCAGGAGTTTGAGGTTGCTGTGAGCTAGGGGGAGGTCTTGGCACTCAAGCCTGGGCAATGGAGTGAGATTCTGTCTAAAAAAAAAAAAAAAATTCAAGGATTGATTAATTTTTTAAAGAGCACTTTTATTTAAAAAAAAAAAAAAGGCAGACTCTACAAGTCATTCACAATATGAACTCTGAAGACAGACTTTGCATCTTGGCTCTGACATTATTAGGCAGACATCTACAACCATACCCCTTAGACGCTCTGTGCCTCATCCTACCTATATGTAACAGGAGGTAAGGTTCTGAAGTCAGGCTGGCACATTGAAATTGAGACCTGCACATTAGCTGTGTAAGATCTCTTAACCTCTCTGTGCTTCCCTCCTTCTTCTGTAACTCCGAAAGACAAATAGTACCTACCTCCTATGTGGAGAAACCGAAACACTTGTGCACTGCTGGTGGGAATGTAAAATGGTACAGCTGCTGTGTAAACAGTATGGAGGTTCCTAAAAAATTAAACATAGAATTAACAAATGATCCAGCAATTTCACATCTGTGTATATACCCCCCAAAAACTGAAAACAGATCTTCAAGAGATATTTGTACACTTATGTTCACAGCAGTTCATTCAAAATAGCCAAAAGGGATAAGTAGACCAAATGTCCATCAACAGATGAATGGATAAGCAAAATGTGGTAACATATACAGTGCAGTATTATTTAGTCTTAAAAAGGAAGGAAATTCTGACATGTGCATTGAAAACATTATGCTCAGTGAAAAAGCCAAACATAAAAGACAAATACTGTTAAGATTCCACTTATATAGGGTACTCAGTGTAGTTATTTCATACAGACAAAAAATAGAATGGTGGTTGCCAGGGTTAGGAGAAAAGAGAATGGAAATTTATTGTTTTACAGGTGCAGGGTTTCAGTTTGAGAACATGAGAAAGTTCTAGAGAAAGGCTGTAGTTGAAGTATGAATGGGCCAAAGTGTGAGCCACTGGCAGGGATGTGGCCACACCCAGTAGTGGAGCCACACCCAGTAGTGGAGCCACGGAACATCTGCACACACCCTGAAGTTAGGCCCCCCTGCCCACATCTGTTGCTGCTATTGCCTGCTGCCACCAGGGCAAAGCACAAGCCACTGACAGTTGCACCACCTAGTATTTGCATGCACCCAAAGGATAGGCTGCCCCAGCCACTACTGCAATTGCTATTTCCTGGGGCCGAAGTGCACACTCCCCAGCCACCTACCAACTGCTACTGCCACAGACAGCAATGCCACCCTTCTCAGCAAATTTACACAAGCCCCCAAAGCAGGATCCTTTCCACACACGAAGCCTCTGCTGGGACCTGGAGATCACCTTGCCCCTAGCCACCATAGCCACTGCCTATATGCACCACCAGGGAAACAAGGACAGGACCCCCAGCTCCAGCACCCATACCCCACCTGGGAGGCTGAGAATCACCTTACCCTATCTAACACCACTGGCACACTTCTCCCAGGGGCTGGAGGGGAGCCCACTCAGCTTGCTGCTACCACCACAGCTGGCACTCACCCACACATGCCACCTGCAGGACTAAGGACTGGCCCACCCAGCCCTTCATAGCCATTACCAATACCAGCACAGTCCACCTGGGAGCCATCAGGTTGTACCATCACTGCTACTATCATTGCCCATACCATGCCTACTGCACAGAGACCCAAGGATCCACTTACCCACACAGCCCACCACTACCACTGCTGGCACCCTAGCAAGCCACCTCAAGCCCCAGGAATCAGCCTTCTTGGACCCACTAATACTGGTGTCAGCATCCACCACCATGGGGGCCAAGGAAAGACACATGTGGCCCACTGCTACCACCATTGGCACCCAAGGACTAGCTGATTTGGCATCCTGATCCCCAATAAAACTTTACCAAATTAACAAGCTCATCCAAAGCCACAGAGGAAACCACAGACATCACTGATGCTGTGAAAGAAATTAATTACACAAAGACTGTAGTTATGTACACATTTAGAATCAAAGCCAAAGCACCAACATCACAGATACATGTTCAAGAAAAAGTCCTCTTCTGGGAAAGAAAATCTAAAAAATGAGAATAAGAGATTGTTTTACCAGATATTGATGGTAAACAGATATTGATAAAAGAACACAAGAAAGAAGGAAATGCAAGAAAATATGGCACTGCCAAAGAGATACAATAATTTTCCAGCAACAGGTATCAATGAAAACAAAACCTGTGAAATGACAAAAAAAGGAATTCAAAATAATGATATTAAATAAGTTTAGAGAACATAGATAAATAACTCAAAGAAATTAGAAAAACAATCAGGATATGAAGGAGAAATTTGCCAAACAGATATCATTAATAAAAAAGAAAAAGAAAATCCTGGAAATGAAGAATTCATCAAATAAAATAAAAAATACATTCAAGAGCTTCAACAATAGACAAGATGAAGTAGTAGAAAGAATTTCAAAACTTGAAATTCCTAGGTAGACAAAAATAAAGAGAAAACGATAAAAAAGAATGAGCAAAGTCTATGTGATATGTGGGATATCAAAAGGCAACCAAATACCTGAATTTTCAGAGTTCCACAAGGTGAAAAAAACAGAGGGATAGAAAATCTATTTAACAAAATGATAGCTGAAGATGTCCAAAATATAGTAAGAAATTTAGACATCCAGATACAGGACGCTTATAAATCCTCAAATAGATATAAGCCAGAAAGTTCTTCATCATGACACATTATAGTCAACCTGTCAAAAGACAAAGACAGATTTCTAACAATATCAAGAGAAAAGCATCTAGTTACTTACATGGGAAACCCTATCAAACTAACAATGGATTTCTTAGCAGAAACCTTAAAGGCAAAAAAAGAGTAGAATGATAAAGTCAAAACACTGAAAGGAAAAAAAGAACTTCCAGCCAAGGATACCACAAAAGTCTCCCACCAAAGCAAAACCTAGGACTTCACACCCAAACTTGACTAAATTTACAAAGAAGAACTAATACCAATACTCTTCAAACTATTTCAAGAAATAAAAGAAAAGGGAAGTCTCCCCAAATCCTTCTAGGAGGCCAACATTACCCAGATACTAAAACCAGAAAAACACACAACAAAAAAGGAAAACTACATGTCAATATCCTTGATGAACATAGAGGCAAAAACTCTTAAAAAAATACTACCAAAGTGAATACAACAGCACATTAAAAAGAAAATACACCATTATAAAGTGGGATTGAAACAAAGAATGCAAGGATGGTTCAACATGCAAAAATCACATCAACTTATGACCATCTCAATAGACACAGGAAAATCACCCGATAAAATTCAACATCATTTCGTAATTAAAAACTCTCAACAAACTAGACATGGAAGAACACCTAAACAAAGGCATTCTCTGACAATCCCACAGCCAACATACCAAATGGGGGAAAGCTGAAAGTTTTTCTTCTGAGAACTAGAATAAGAAAAAAAAAAATGCCCACTTTACCACTCATATTCAATGTAGTAATGGACAGCCTAGCCAGAGCAATCAAACAAGAAAAATTAAAAAAAAAAAAAAGCACCCAAATTAGAAAGAAGAAAGTCAAAATATCCTTCCTCACAGATTACACAGTCTTATAGGCAATAAAAACTAAAAACTCCACCAAAACATTCTTAGATCTAATAAATAAATTCAGTATTCAGGATATAAAAATCAACATACAAAAATTAGTAGTGTTTCTATACAAAAATAATGAACTAACTGAAAAAGAGATTGAGAAAGCAATCCCACTTATAACAGCCACAACTTACACACAGAGAGAACAAATTTAACCAAGGAAGTAAAAGACATCTACAAGGAAAATTACTACAAAACACTGACAAAAGAAACTGAAATGGACACAAACAAATGGAAAGACATCCTATACTGATGAATCGGAAATATTAGTATTTAAGATGACCACACTACCCAAAGTAATCTACAAATTTAATACAACTCCTATCAAAACACCAATGTCATTTTTTACAGAAAAAGAAAAAACAATCCTAAAATTTTTATGGAAATAAAAAAAGAGCCCAAATAGTAAAACCAATCCTAAGCCAAAGAACAGAACTGATGACATCACACTACACTACTTCAAAATATAATACAAGGCTATAATACACAAACAACATGGTATTGAAATAAAAACACACAAAAACCAATGGAACAAAATAGAGAACACAGAAATAAATCCACATATTTATAAACTGATTTTCAACAAAAGTGCTAAGAACATATATTGGAAAAAGTACATCATCCTTTTCAGTAAATAGCACTAGGAAAACTGGATATTCAAATGCAGAAAAATAAAACTGGACCCCTATTTCTCACCACATACAAATGTTAAGACTCAAAACTATAAAACTACTAGAAGGTAACAAAGGGAAATATTTCAGAATGTTGGTCTAGGCAAAGATTTTATGGCTAAGACCTCAAAAACAAACTCAACAAAAACAAAAATAGACAAGTGCAACTACATAAAAGTAAAAAGCTTTTGTTCAGCAAAGGTTTCAGTCAGCAGAGTGAATCAACTTGTTGAATGGAAGAAAATACTTGCAAACTACTCATCCAACAAGTGACTAATACCCATAATATATTAGGAACTAAACCACCCAGCAGTAAGAAAATAGTCTATTACAACATGGGCAAAAGACATGAATAGACATCTCTGAAAAGAAAACATATAAATGGCCAACAGTTACATGAAAAAACGCTGAACAGTACTAATCATGTTTATTGTAGCACTTTTCACAATAGCCAGAATATGGAATCAACTCAAGGGTCCCTCAGCAGATGAATGGATTTTTAAAAACTGTGGTATATACACAACAAACACTATGCAGTGATTTAACAAATGAAATCCTATAATCCTAGCACTCTGGGAGGCTGAAGCAGGTGGACTGCTTGAGCTCACGAGTTTGAGACCAGCCTGAGCAAAAAGCAAGACCCTGTCTCTATTAAAAACAGAAAAATTATTGAAAAAACAATACTTCATTTTATATGGAATCAGAAAAAGCCTTGAATAGCCAAGACATTACTCAGGAATAAAAACAAAGCAGGAGGAATCACGCTACCTGGCATCAGACTATACTATAAATCCATAGTGATCAAAACAGCATGGTACTGGCACAAAATAGAGAGGTAGATGTATGGAAAAGAATAGAGAACCAAGGGATGAATCCAGCTACTTACCACTACCTGATCTTTGACAAGCCAATTAAAAACATTGAGTGGGGAAAAGATTCCCTATTTAACAAATGGTGCTGGGTGAACTGGCTAGCGACCTGCAGAAG